TATATTGTCGTATAGGTACATGTGCATCTTCTAATTTTGTAATACATAATGATAACATACATAAATCATGATAACATGCATGTAATTCACTACGACCATATGTATCAAATAATCGATAAAATTGTTCAATAAATTGAGTTATAAATCCTTGCATATCATGTGGTACACAATGTGGTAATGACTTTGGTAATGTTATTGTTTGAATATCAGTTGCAAAACGAATAGCCGGTTTAAGATCAATATCATCCTTTGTATAAAAAAAAAATATATATATATATTAGTCATTAAAAGTTTTATTAGTAACATAAACATACGATTCGTTTGAGTTGTGGTAATTTTTGCTGTATGATACTAGAATGGTATTAGATGGACCAAATTGATGGATGCTTATTTGCAAAATACAACTGAAAATATAGACACCCAAACAACAACAAACAAGCTAAGCCTTTGCCCTGCCATTTTTAAATTGAATGTTTTATATTGATTTTTTTTGTGATCTTACTTAATATCTCATTTAATCATTCTTATTCACATTTGTCATTCATCGATTTATGATGTTTATGTAATTGTAAATTTCATCGAAATCGTTTATCACATTTTACAATAATCATATCTCTCATCATATTTATACAAAAAAAAAAAGATTTAATTGTGTGTCCATTTGTACGCTGTTGTTAAACGATTCAATTAATTTATGTTTATATAAATTAATAAATATCAATTTTGTTTTGTTTTTGGTAATCCGATGTCCAAAAATTGATAATATAATCAGCAAGAATACAATACTATCACAGATAGAAGTTTAACTTATTTTATAATAAATTCCAAAGGATTGATTATTAATCAATTATAATTAATTTTTACTTTTTTGCAATAGTTTGACATCGGATACAATATAAATTTAATTCAAATATAAAATTAATTAATTATTCATTGCTGTTGATTGAACGAAAAAGATTTCGATCTTGCTTTTGTTTTTTTTTTCGACGTACAAAAAAAATTTCGATATCATTTACAATAAAATTTTACATGATTATCTTCATTACACTCTCACACTTGAATAAGTTTTCGACGTACAAATACCATTCACACATTCTCTCATTTAATGTAATAAAACGATTTCGTTTGTCTAAATGTTATTTTTTTTAGTTTGTTTTCCATTCGAATGACTTCTGATTTTTTTTGCTTTTTAACTCAAGTGAAATCAAATGATCTGTTGAGAATAAAAATAAGATAATAAAAATAAACCATAGAAAATAAAACATTCGATTTAAATAGATATTTTCTTTTTGTTTCTGTCTGTTGTGAATGTCCATGAAAAGAAAAAGTTTTTCGATCTGACCTGATTATATTATCGATTGAATTATTGGATTTGTTATTGGATAATGTTAATGGATTATTTTTAATATATATATGAACTAATTGCGATAAATGTTGAAGATTATCAAAATCGTCAACATTTTTTAACTAAAAAATACATAATTTTAATATTGAAATAATACTTATATCTTGTTTTTTTAAATAACAAACTTGATTTGAAGCAAAACTTAGTTGTACAAGATTATTTAAATGAAGATTACGAAATTCATATAAATTCATTATATTATTTGAACCCAAATCTAATTGTCGTGTCTATAAAGAAATTTAAAAAAATTATCAATGTATTAATAAATATTAATACTAACCATATGAATATCTTTATTAATGATATCAACAACATCACGTATGAATGCATGTTTATTAAATTGTGGAAAGATACCCAATGAACTTAATTCTAAATATTTTAACATTATAATTTCATATTAAAATCAAACTTTCTTATTACCTTCATCATTAGCTAAATTTGATAAATCTAATTGAAGTGTTTGTTGATTAAAACGACGACTGAGCAAATAATCCTAAAGATCGTATATAAGAAAATGAAAAAATTTCTTTTGGCCTTGTATTATTTACTTTAAAATGTGGTCGTAGATCTTCATCCATTGATGGTATAGGAGCTGAAACTTTTCCAACCATAATACGAAGCTTAAAAAAAAAATGAAAAGAATATAAAATAATTTCTTCATTTCAGAAATGTTTCAAAGATGCTACGCTTGAATTTCGTTGGAGAAGAATTTAATGTGCATTTTCCGCATAGTAGATGGACATGTGATTTTCATGCGCGAAGATGATTGGATATGACGTAGAAAAACATTTTTAAGAAAAAACAAGACATTTTTTGGATTCACCCTACTTTGATCGAAAGTAAAAATGTCGAAAGTAAAATGTCGAAATATAAAAATGCAGAATGATAAAAATGTCGAAAGCTTGAAATAGCGAAAAGTAAAAATACCGAAACTTAAATTTCGAATTTTTTAACACCGAAAGGTAAAAATATCGAAAGGTCAAAATGTCAAAAGAAAAAAATATCGCTAGGTAAAAATATCGAAAGATAAAAATATGAATCTATGAATACTTCTCAACTAGGGGTGGGAAGTTACCGTTACCCGGGAGTTACGTTACCGGGTAACTAGTAACTTTTGAGTTACTAGTTACCGACTAACTAGTAACGCCGGAGTTACCAGTTACCAGGTAACTAGTAACTTCGAAGTTACTAGTTACTTTTGGTAGGTAACTTGTCTAAAAAGTCGAGATATCGCTTCCTAATGACTGAATATCATCTATTCATCACTCAATTAAATTACGAGTTACTTGATAACTAGTAACTCCTATGTGCGTTACTAGTTACTCGGTAACTCGTGAGCTGAATAAGTACTGTAATGATGGTATTCACTCATTAGGAAGCGATATCTCCACTTTTTAGACAAGTTACCTACCAAAAGTAACTAGTAACTCCGAAGTTACTAGTTACCGGGTAACTGGTAACTCCGACGTTACTAGTTACTCGGTAACTAGTAACTTGCGAGTTACTAGTTACTTGGTAACGTAACGGTAACTTCCCACCCCTACTCTCAACTTCTTCATGGCTTATCACTTCTTATCGGTACATCAAAAAATTAGACTTAAAATTTCCCATAAATTAAGTTAATGTTTATTTTCACTTTTTAATTCTTTGTCATTGTCGACGTATATAAAAATTTTTTTATCCATATATTAAAATGAAATAAATTTATTAAAACCCACTTTTTCTCGATTATACATTGGTTCATAGGGATTTGATAGCTTCTTCAATCATCATTATTAGGGTTTCGACATTTTTCTATTTCGATATATTTATCTTTCGATATTTTTGCCTATCGACATCGCTTTTTTCGAAATTTCTACATGTTGCATTTTTATATGTCGGCATTTTAATTTTCGATATTTTTATAGTTCGATATTTTTATCGTTCGGCATTTTTACAATGGTTATTTTCGACATTTTTATCTTTCGAAAGTTTTTTTTTCGATCAAAGTAGGGTTAACCATTTTTTGGGAAAAACTTTTTTCTTCAAAATTATTCTGTTTTATATGAAAAACACTAATAAGCTGAATTGCTCATTTCACACAATTAGCCATTTGTGTGACACTATAGCAAAAGAATAGTTTTTACTATTGGATAGAGTTCGATTTAGAGATTCGAGAAAATTTATTTAATTTCTCTATCGAACAGTTTAATTTTGTCAAATATAAGTTTTTCTGATGATATCGCCATTTTCACGCAAATTTTTGAGCAATTCTTTTTTTTTCAATTTTCTTAAGAATTGTAACAAACTTATTTATATCATCAGATATAAACTATATTTTCATCAATTTTAGTCTGAAAAAGTATGATGTTCATTTTTAGTCAAATATTCGTCCAGATACAAAGTGTTCGTAGGTGAACTTCTCGTTTGGGAAAATCTCACTTCGTGCTTTTTTTTGTTACTTACTATATCTAAATTTTGAACTTCAATTTTTCCATTAGCTCGTTTTATCATATCAGCATCTTGTTGATAATGAACAAAGAAAACACCTGCTTTCGTATGAGGATCAATAAAATACTAAAAGAATAAATAATGAAATAAATAGTAGAAATATATTATCAAATGAATATTTACATGATAAGGTTGAAATTGACGAGGACAATGAGCTTTAAGTGTTGACATAACACGTTCTTTACCAATTTCACCAGCTTGTTGAATGGCTATGCGCCACCAACCTATTTGATTTCTTTGAGCATTTTTTAATTGATTATTTGAACGAATTGGTCGACGATCTTGAATACTTTTAGTTACATATCGTCTTGATGATAAATCTTGAGATGGATTTCCATCAGTTGTTAAATGACGATTTATTGATGCCATAAGTCTATCAACATCATCTGCATTATGATTAAATACTGGACGATAATTGTTTCGATCACCACGTCGATTATATTTCGAATTATATCGAGATGATATTGGATCTGTATGATGTTTACCACCATTATGAGAAAAATCGTTTCGATTAAACATTTTGTAGTAATAATCTGTAATAAAATAATTCTATGTGTTTTTTGTGACAGACGAAGAGTGAAATATTTTAAGTTGAGTGTTACTCAACGAGATACAAAATAAAAAAATGATAAAAGATATGTGTCATGCTTTATTTTAAGCAATTTTTAGATGAAATTACATGAAATAAAGGAAAAATCTTTCTCAATGACTCATATCCAATCATGGAAAATGTTCAGATGGTATTTATTTGACATACTCTTAAATATGAATTTAAAAGCATAATTGCATTTCTTTAGATATTATTTTATTTATGAAAGTATTTCTTTTCAAAAAAAAAATAATAATTTTTCCAAAAATTGATTCTTAGTTTTTTTACTGACATCTATTTAGTTTCTTTCTAATTGTTACACAAATGCTAGCCATACAGAAAAATAAACCAAAAAAAAAAATCTTACTCACGATAAATCGAATGTCGCTATGCTCCTTTTTGTGCACTTACAAGTTTATAAATTGTTTCATTTTATTATAAATATCATGATGATATGGGTGTAGTTTTTTTTTCTTCATTTCATTTATCTTAGATTTACATGATCAAACAAAAGCGATGAAACGACAACTTCATTCATCATCACCTCCTTCATCCCCTTTATCAAATTCACAAATCTCAGATGAATATGAACCAGCACCCAAACGTCCTCGTATCTTTATTTCTTCGCCGACACCACCACCAGATAATGACAATCAAATAGTAATAGAAGATGATGATGATGATGATGATGACGACGATGAAGAAATAATTATTGATGAACCTATTGTTTCACCAGTGACTATTGATGAAAACAGGTTGGACATGATTCTCTTAACTAAAATTAATTGATATACTTATTTTTGTACGAATGTTTTAGCCAAAATGAATATCATAATGGCGATAATGATAATGATGGTGATGATGATATTATTGAAATTGAACAGCAAAATATTAATAATTTTATTTCAGAAACTAATAATCCAATAATTGTTGTTTCGGATTCAGATTCCGATGATGATCAGGGAATTGATGTAACTGATGATATACCTCCATCAGTATCTTCTATCATTAATACATCCATATCTTCATCTGATATTGAAGATGTGGAAATTGTTCAAGAACAAAATGATGAAGAACCTGCAATAATAGATGATGAAATTGAACAACTACAATTATCTAATGATGATGATCATGAATCTCTTGAAATTCTTACTAATGATGATGATAATAACGAAAATAATAATGAATTAATTGATTTAACAGAAGATGAACTTATTTCAATATCTTGTTCACGTAATTCATTCGAACGTAAATTATCTATTGATGTACAACAATGTCCAATTTGTCTTGAAACACTTAGTCATTTACAACGTACAGGTGTTTATTTAATAATAACACAATGTCGCCATGTTATGTGTACATTATGTACTGGTCAATTATTAGCTACATCATCTCGATGTCCACTATGTCGAGAGAATGTAAGCTCAACAACACTTATGCCATATTGTATTCTTACATGAACATTAGTCAATATCAATTCTATTGAAAAAAAAATTCATCTCTGTTTATTTGTGTTATTGTATATATATATATGTATATTCTACGTTTCTTTTCTCTTTTCTTTTCATACGTGAATTATGTCATTTCTATCTCTAGAATAGCTAAAATTCAAAGAATGAAGTTTTTGGTTTTGTTTTTGTTTTTCATCATCATATTTCTTTTTGTTTTTAAACATAGAGATCAGTTAATTGAACCTGTATTTATTTGGTTGTTTGTTTTTTTTTGGCTTTTCTAGATGGCACTTGCAGCAATTCAAGCATTGTATGATGATGATGATGATAATAATAAGAATGATAATGACAATCAAAAAAGTGACGAAGAAATAAATGATCGAATGGCTGTTATTAATGATCCAACATTTTCTGTTATGTCTAAAATCAAACTTAATTTAACACCAGCTATTGCTATTCAGGTAAGAAAAAAAAACTATGACAAACAAAAAAAGAAACATCAGAGTATCCTTATTTTGTTATATGAAATAATATCAAGCCCTATTTGTAGATATGATGTATCATTTATGAAGAAATGCATCCAAGTGTAACTCGCTTACTGAACTGGAATTTTATCCATGAATATGTTTTGTAAATCTGAGAATGCTATGAATGTACTCTTCTCGAAATATGGAATATGTAAAAATATTCCAGTGTATTAAGGAAAAGGAAAAAAGTCCGATGTTTCTTTATCTCAAGCGCAACATATCCTTTTCGGTTAAAATTTTCTGAGCATTCTAAGATTAAGACGATCTATCTATAGGCAGACCTTCAGATTGAATTTTCGTACTTCGATTTTCTTTTAACAATACCTTGTCAAATATAAAAGATTCAATCAGATAGTATTAGCTTGGGAAGGACAACATACAGAGATGAATCCTTATAAGCTTCTCCTAATCTCATCGAAATCTATCTATCAACCAAATATCAATTCGATTGATGTTGGCCACTTGGTCACCTCATCTCGTTAGTAGAATTAATCTATGAAATGAACAAGAAACATTGATATAAGCAATCTATTATAACTCTTCTTTTTTTGCATTTCTAGCCTGAAGATACAACTAGTTTTCTCGACATTAGAACAAGAGAAGTACAATACAATCCTAAATATGAAGATATGTATGCACCAGTGGTAAGTCAAATGATATTAAGAAAATAAAGAACTAAATAACTATGAATTTTAGTTTGGTCCAACAAATCCTAATTTAACACAACAACAAAGTAGTTATAAAAACTTACTTAATGGTCATGCTGAATCAACAAATTTAAGTGATTTTCAATTTGAAAATCAACGTCGAACATTTGATAGTTTTGGTTATGCAGCTGATCCTAGTGTTGGAGAACATGCTACACCACAAATAGTTGGTGATCAAGTTAGTGCTGAACAAAATCAAGGCAAAACTATTTTTGAAACAAGTCGAAAACATTCAAATGAAAAACGTAAAAAAGAAAAAAATTATGATTCAAGTGATGTTGAACATTATCAAGGTCCATGGGCTCCATATGTCGATGAAATTACTGTATCTCGTCCAACTGAAGTATAATTTATTTAATTTACTTTTTAAAAATTTCTAATTTATTTTCTTCTTCATTTTAAAGGAAGAACAAAAGGATATTGATGAATTTTTAGCTAAACGAAAGAAAATTAAACGACGTAATTTAGAAGATCAACATGCTCCAGTATCAGCTCGTGATCCTGAATCAACAACATTGAATAAAGAACCTGAAGATTCATCATCAACAACATTACATATTAAAGATCCATATGATTATCAAGGTCGATCATTTCTTCATATACCACAAGATGTTGGTGTTAATCTACGTTCTGAACATGGACCACAACGATGTTTTATTCCAAAACAATGTATACATACATACAAAGGACATACAAAAGCTGTACAAAAAATTCATTATTTTCCTGTTTCTGCTCATCTATTTCTTACTTGTTCAATGGATTGCAAAGTCAAAGTAAAACTAATATAAAAAAAAGGAAAAATTGATTTAATGACTGAATATTACTTTTGTTGTTCTTGCTTTTTAGTTATGGGAATTTTATAATGAACGTCGTTGTATTCGAACTTATTCTGGACATAGTCAAGCTGTACGAGATATTAATTTTAATAATGCTGGTACAGAATTTTTGTCAGCATCATATGATAAAAGTGTTAAATTATGGGATACAGAAACTGGTATGAATTTCAATTTTTTTGTTGTGATTAAAATTTTTTTAATTACTATTTTTTTAAAATATTAGGTCAAGTAAAAAGTAAATTTCCAATGCGTAAAATACCTTATTGCATATCATTTAATCCGAGTGAACATAAACAACATTTATTTATATGTGGTATGTCGGATAAGAAAATTCTTTGTGTAAGTGTTTTATGATTGTTAAATTTTTACATTTTTTTTTAAATATATTGATTTTTCTATTTAGTTTGATATTCGAAGTGGCCATGTTGTACAAGAATATGATCGACATTTGGGTGCTATAAATACAGTTACATTTGTTGATCGAAATCGTCGCATTGTTTCAACATCAGATGATAAGAGTATTCGCGTTTGGGAATGGTAAATATGATATATTGAATATACTGTATTTTTATCGTTTTCTTATTTAGGAATATTCCTGTTGATTTTAAATATATTGCTGATCCAACAATGCATTCAATGCCAGCCGTTGCTCAATCACGGAATGGTTTGTTTTTTTGTGCTTTACTTCATTATTCTTTGGCTTATATTTTAATTGCTCAGTAATTAATTTAAAAAGATTCAGAATTTAAGATTGTTGGTGTCGATGTTGGTCTTTCTGATAGTAGCATCCACATCTACACTCACAGATGTAGAGTAACAAATTATTAATTTACTGAGCAAACACGACAGTTGCTGAACACTAAGTTTTATATTAATAGTTTGATTTATTGACCAATTATTTGTCTCTAATATTGAACATTTAATGTATTCTATTATTATTTTTTTTTCTTTTAGGTAAATATTTAGCATTTCAATCAATGGATAATCAAATTCGAATCATGGAACCATTGGCTAATTTTCGATGGAAGAGCAAAAAAATGTTCAAAGGTCATATGGTAAGTAATCATTGTCATTTATTCATGAAATGAATTGATATTTTTATTTCTATGTAGGTATCTGGTTATGCATGTGGTTTGGATTTTTCACCGGATATGTCTTATTTGATAAGTGGTGATGCTGATGGACGTTTAATTATTTGGGATTGGAAAACAACACGTATTTTCGAACGCATTAAAGCTCACGATGACGTATGTATTGATGCTAAATGGCATTGGCATGAAAAATCAAGAGTTCTTACAGCTGGATGGGATAATGTCGTCAAATTATGGGATTAGAACTGTTCATTATTTTCCGGTGTTTATTTATTGTTGTTCTTGAGATCTATTAACATATTTGTGTGACGATTCTTTTTTTGTACATTGTTTCTGCTTATGTACCTGTGTATTTAATTACAACAAGCAAAACTAAGAATATAAATCGGAAAATATTAAAGTGAAATATCTATATTCAGATAGCTTTAAAGATAAGATAAATCTTGACATCAAGCTTATCATTTGCGCTCATTATTGACATATTTCTCAGATAAGTACATTTTTTTGCCGTATCTCTTGAAATATTTTATCAAAAATATATTTTATTCCGTGATCTAAGAGGTATGAATGTTATGAATGATGATCCATAATCTTGTTTTTTTTCTGAAACAATATGCGTAAACAAATATTTCTTGCTATTCTCAGTTTTCTAAAAACAATATTAATTTCATTTTCTGATATGAAAAGTCAACGAACTGCGGAGTGAATCTTCGACAATTGATCACAATGCTAAAAAAATAAAATCGACAAAAAAAATTGTCTTAGCAATATGGAGAAATAACTCGAAGAGGTTCAGAAAATAACTGACAATCTATTCAAGGATAAGAAACATTATTTACCAGTATAAATATGCCTGTTTATTTAACTCTTGTAATTAATCCTAGAGCCTTACACAAGATTAAGTATTGTTACTTACATTTTACCATCTGTGGACTACGAGCATTGTTATTAGAAAATGATTATAGTTTTCGTCTTTTAGTAATATTTCAATAAATTTATAACGTAAATGTTAACATTCAATTATTGTCTACGAATCCATTTGAATCACCTGTCTGACAATTAAGGTTTATGAAAAGTGAAATAGAAACTCGACTTCTGTCAAATATGTGACCAAGTCCAGATTGTGACTAATTGTCGTTCGATTGACTGCGTTTTTCTTGAGCATCATCGTCTCTTATCTCACGTAACTTAAATTCATTCATAAAGGTGTGGGTTAAATAACGTCATTATTATCATGTCTTTTGTGTAAGCTGAGAAATAAATCCGTGATGATGTGCATGGTTGTGTAGGGATTTTCAGGAGCTTATACAGTCAGCCACCTTACCTATTCGAATTAGTTTGTGATTATCTCTGTCTAAAACAAAATGATAGATCTAGTGATAATGGTAATAGTATTTGTTGCAAATCGTTTTATTGTATTATTTGAATTTAAATTAATTAAGAATCTGTTGATATATATATATATGTATATTTGTTGTATGATAAAAAGACATTATTGTTTATCGCTGATGGTGGCTGTTCTAGCTTTAACCTACGTCGTTGTGTTTTCAATCATAACGTAATATTTTCGAAAGTGATCAACTGATGGAATACTGATTCAATAGTTTATGATAAAATTCAAACACATTCGCTCTTTACATATGCAAACGCCAGTTTCCCACTAAGCAATTATATCTATGCACATATGCGTCGAATCTGTTTTGTCTCTTCTATCCTTTTATGATCACCACCCACATCCTAGTTTTTCTCTTACATCATTCTTTTCTTTTCTGATATCTTCAGATCAATTATATGTATGTGAATATAAAACTAAACATATATCTATCAGCATAAAAACAGTCTTTGTTAAAACACAAATGTTGTTGATTGTCGTTGTTTTTTGAGCCTTTTAACAGATAGTCAAAGTGTCATAATAGGTTGTATGTGAAAAAAGAAGAATATCAAAGTTGAAGCATTCAAATTATAATCAAAACATTGATCAATTTAAAATCTGCAAGTCTTTTTTTTTGTATCATTTATGATGTGAACTGAATTTTAATCAATTATATTAAAACATGAAAAGAGCTAAAAATATTGCTGCATGGTATTCTTTTTTTACTTCATTCTAATACATTATTGGTCTCATCATCTCAATTTTTCAATTTATTGTTATGCTATGCTAAAATTCCCTGAACGTGTATAATCACTCTCTTCTTTATACAAACATTTAGCATTGATATTAAATTCATACGTTTCTGTTGTTCATGATACATTAATTAGCGTGAGCTATTCTGCGAACTACTACATCAGAAATGATGTCAATCAGATGTGAAATAAATAAATGGCAAAATTCGAAAGCAACAATAGATCTACAAATCAAATATGAGACAGTCATGAAAATGATTGCTATTTGTTGATTATACAAAAACGATGCATCCTTTTTCTTCTGTAAATCTATTTTTGTCATCTATTCCTATGTTGTACATGAGATATTATAGGATATTCACAATTACTATTGTACAATTGGTTATATGGCAAAAAGAGAAAAAAAATTCTCACATTGAGTGAATTTCTTGTTCTACTGCTATATTATTGGATTAATGGTATAAAAAAAACATCCAACTTTGTCGTTATGTTGCACCGTACTATAATATTGGAATAAAGAGATTCTGTGGCTTTTTAGGAGAGAGTGATTCTTATTTGTTCTATCACTATTGTTTTGTTAGGACTAACTATTTTTTAGCGAGAATATTTTCTCTCTTAATCTCTCTCTCAATATCGACTAATATATAACTGTTTGTTATATCAGTTCTACAACTATTTCTTACGCGCAACTTAGTGCGTTTCACTCTTGCTTATTGACAACGAGAACGATCTTTATTGATTGAATTCAACAGTCAAGAGTATTAAGCATTATTCAAAGTTAGAACAATAATGTCTTCAACGTACGATCATAATGATCCGGAAGTGGTAGAAGCAATGAAATATTTGATTCTTCCACCGGAAGAAAAAATCAAACTCCAGGCTCAACCATTTGATGGTAAGAAAGCATGTTGGGTACCTGATCCAAAAGAGTCATATGTTGCTGGTGAAATTGTGAGCACAAAAGGTGATGATGTAACAGTAAAAACTTCGAAAGGAGAGGTAATTGTTTTTTATTTTACATCTATTCAACCATAATCTATATGTTTTATTTTTTAGAGTGTTACATTGAAAAAAGATAATGTGCAACAGATGAATCCACCAAAATATTCTTGCACTGATGATATGGCTGATTTAACTTATTTGAACGATGGTTCAGTTTTGGCTAATTTACGTGATCGTTATGGACGATGGCTCATCTATGTATGTCCAATTTTTCCTTTTTTCTTTTGAAATAGAATTTTTTTTGTTTTCAAATTTTTAGACCTATTCTGGTCTATTTTGCGTCGTCATTAATCCATACAAACGTTTACCAATTTATACACTGAAGGTAGTTCTCATGTATCGTGGCAGGAAACGTGCTGAAGTTGCACCACATCTGTATGCTATTGCTGACAATGCCTATTCGAACATGCTTCGTGGTGAGTATCTTACTGTAAACAACAATGTTTATCAAGAAAGCTATTGTTCGCATTAAAGATCACCTGATAATGATACACGTCATATGGAGAAAAGGACATGTCCTTGAATATTCTTCATTGATGGAATGTCACGAAAGGCATATCCACGTCTGGATCAACATTAGTATATGAGAAGAAAAAACGAGTGAACGAAATTGGATATGGGTAAAGGAAAAGGCATTTGCGGTATGGTTGTTATCACCTACGTAAATGCGCACCGAGAGAAAGAGAGACAAAGAAAGAGAATTAATACGTCAATCAACAGATGCAACTTGTTTGTTGAGATTAGATCAAGAACTTGAAGAGATTATTTTTTATGAAATAGCATATGTGATTCTTCTATAAAAATAAAGTATACAAGGAGAAGGAATAGCTATTTGATAAAAAGAAATAGAAGTAGATAGTTAGAATGTCGCTCAAAGATTCATATTTTCTTTCGAACAATTGAATAATTACCAATTGATTGTTTGTATGTTAGAAAATAAACAAATTTCAAATTTGTCGTTTCATTTTCATATAAACAGAAACTCTTCTTTGATTTTTTCATTGTATCTTTATCAATGAATATACACAACAGTGCTAGTGCATACGAAAAAACTTTCATGGGAAATAGACTGCAGCAAAAAAAAACTGATCATTAGAATTTCATAAAATTTTACATTTCAATGATTAAGATTTCATATTTAATATACTCGTATGAAAAATATAGACGATTGATGCACTCATTGATATTAACATTTGTATTCATATCATGTTCGTCAACATTGTCGAGTATTTATTTGTACAACTGAATCAAATTGTATGACATGATAAATACGTTTGAATAACTGACAGACGCCAATTATCTTAACATAAGGATATACAAGCAGAAAAATGAACTTTCCATGAAAGACGAGATTCGCTCCAGGAAATACGATTATCTGATACCATGCAGAGATCTGACATACATAGTCAAAACAAGTGTTCTTCTATTTTCTTTAGTATTTATAGAATAACATACGAAGGACAAAGAAAATATTTTATAAATACTATTCAATCTTGTTACATATTTGATGATATTATCTGCTCATATGATATCATTTCTTCATATTTAACAATGATACACATACAAAAATTGAAATCATGAATCTAATAACATAATTCCACACATTTCACATGTACAGTATTTTAATTCTAATTTTGGTTTTGGGGAAAATTAAATTAAAATAAGAAGATGCGAAACATAATCATATAATGAGTTTCCTATGAATCACTGATTTTTGGAAAATTTTCTTGATAGTTGTTCAATATCTTCTTTGCATTTATTCTTCTTCAGTTCATTCAATGAATATAGAAAATATAATTTGACGAACTAGTACTAATATTTGAATTCTTTGAGAAAAATTCGATGATTTCAAGTTCTCTTATTAAAACAAACTAAGAAATAGACGATTAGCACAATAGAACTTCGTTTTTCCAGTACAGATTATCTTTGAGCGTTACACTCAATTAATTCCTATATGAAGTAAAAGACTTTTAAAATGAGAAAACCTGACTAAATAAATAAAGTAATAATTGTTTAGCATTTAAAAAGATAAATATTAATGAAAATGATAGACAATGTGACAGAGAACTGTTTCTTTTGGCAAAGTCCTTAGTCTTCTTCGATCAGCTATTCTCGAA